CTCACCCTTCTGCTCTGCTTCTCTAAATCCAGCTCTTCCAGACATACTCAAAGGATCTTTTTCTACAGAAAGGCTTCTTTGATTTCTCTCATCCCCTTCTAATCATTTCTGTGTTTTTATGTCTCATCAACAATTACTGCTTAATTTGTACGAAAGAAAAAATTCACTCTTTTGAAAGGAGGGAAGTCTAGTCTGAATTAGTGAAAAAAAAAAAACATGCATTAAAATTTGTGTAAATACAGTTGCCATTACTTTTAAGTCCTGGAACTTGATTGCCTAGAGCTAAAAAAGAATAGAAACCTAGTTTGAAGAACACTTGAAATTATGTGTAAGTAATATATTGCTTTTGATATGTAAATGGTGCCTCTAAAATGTTTTAAATAATTTATTCTCTTAAGCAAATGGTGTTAGCATGTAGGAAACATATTTCTTATCTTAGAGATCAAATTACCAGCATTTGAATCAGTAAGGCTTTGTTGTAAATTGATCTGCATGTTATGTATTGCTTGGTATTTATTCTTGTGTCCTTTCATATATGTGTGTTCTGCCTTCCACATTAAACTGGGAAATCCTTGGGGGGCAGAGATTTGTCTTCTTTGTCTTCTGGACCCCAAGTATTCACAAATCAGGATTGGCACACAATTACTAATGTTTATTAACCAATACCAGATGGGGATACTAAACCACAACAGGAAAGTGTGATTCATTCCTATGCCACCAGTCTATACTAAACCTCAAGGAGACAGGTGTGTGGTTGGTACTTGGGGGACAGAGTAAAGATCAGACACAATCCCTGTCCCTTTCATTGCGCTCCCAGTGCCCTTGAGGAGCAAAGACAAACACACAAGTAACCTTTTGAAAGTGATATAAATAACCAAGCTTCATGCTGATCAGAAATGGAAAGTGGTGATTAAGCTGGAGAGATGTATCAGATCCCTACAGAGAGCTCTCCCCTTTGTATTGTGACCCTCAGTTTTCCCTATGCCTATTTTATAGATCTAGACCTTTTGGGAGGAGGGGAACCTTTTGCCTTTAGGGCCCTTGACTACCAGGACCAATACTGCTTTCTTTTCTCCTTCCCTCTAGGATGTCAAAAGTACCCTGGAAAAGTAAGTGATTCTTGCATCTCCTTGAGTGAGTTAGGTTTTGGCCTAGAGACTAGGGGTAAAGTAAGCAATTAGAGGAGTCAGGATGGGAAGATCATGTAGTATCTGGGGAGAATATGAGAGAAGGTTCACTGCATCCATGAAGCTATTGAGAGCAAATCATCAAGAGTAGCAGCCCCTTACCTTTTCCCCTATGATCACCAGAACTTCCTTGGTAAAGAGGATACCAAGATAATATAGAACCAGATTTACCTGTTCCTGTGGGTGGACTTGTATCCAAACAAGATGGAAGGAGGAAGGGGTTGGAAGAGGGGGAGGGTGATTAGCCCTTTGCATGGAATATAATAATAACCCAGAAAGTTCTGAGACTCATTCTTAAGATAAGGTTCCATCCAGGACACCATATGGCTCCATACATTGGCAAAAGAAAGAAATAAGCAAGTACTTGTCTTCAGGGAGGAGGGAGAAAATGGGAGGATGGAGGATTTTAGTTTCTCCCTAAAGACAGCATCTAAATACTCACTCAGCAGAAGTTCCCCTGACCCTGCCCTTTCTTCCCCTATCTCCCTATCCCTCCTAGATGTGAGAAGGTGAAGACCATGGAGGTGACTTCAGTATCCATAGAGCTGGAAAAGAATTTCCACAATTTCCCCCGACAGTACTTTGCCCTAAGGAAAATCCTTAAACAGCTAATTGGTGAGTTGTTCCCAAAGGAACCTAGCAAAGGGAATTAGCAGAGAAGAGAGTCTTTAGGTCTTACTTTATCTGGGCTCCAGTTATCCCATCTGTCACTTTTCATGCCGTAACCCCACCTGCCCCTTTACTTGGCTTTCATTCTCACTCTGCATCATAGAACTTGGAAGTGGGAAGCCTTAGATGTCATCTACTCTTAGGCCCATACTTTTTTAAATGAGACCCAGGAAGGTTAAATAATTTGCCTAAATTCGTCCCTTCTTGGAAGTGAAAGGAAATGTCATTAACATTTACTCAGAGAAAATGGTCATAAGCCAGGACTTTTACAGGAAAACCAACTCCTGGTCACCCTGTCGCTAGACCATAATGCTGTCTTGCTTTGTATCCTTCTTAACATTTTGCATTCATTCTGGACCTTGGACTGTGACTTATACTTCTCCTCACAGTGCGATAGATGATGATGTCAGAGTGGGGTGGAGAGCAGATCAGCAGGAGGCTAAACCAGGAGCCCCTGCAGAATCAAAAGATCATTATTTGTTTATTTTAGGGCAAGGGTGAGAAGTGAAGCCATTGTTCCTTCCCCTTCCTTAGGTGATACCATGGATTGAGAAAGTCAACCAAACCATGGTGTTCTGGGGACCTTTAAGGGAACAGCCTCTGTAAAGCCAGGCCGGAAAAGCAAGGCAGGGATGTTTAGCTATTCCCATCCTCATCTAGCTCCCCACTCTGGCTTCTCCCGCCAGCGGATGTGACCCTGGACCCTGAGACTGCTCATCCTAACCTAGTCCTGTCGGAAGATCGTAAGAGCGTCAAGTTTGTGGAGACAAGACTCCGGGATCTCCCTGACACACCACGGCGTTTCACCTTCTACCCTTGCGTCCTAGCTACTGAGGGTTTCACCTCTGGTCGACACTACTGGGAGGTGGAGGTCGGCGACAAGACCCATTGGGCAGTGGGTGTGTGCCGGGACTCTGTGAGCCGAAAGGGCGAGCTGACTCCACTCCCTGAGATTGGCTACTGGCGGGTGCGGCTGTGGAATGGGGACAAATATGCAGCTACCACTACGCCTTTTACCCCTTTGCACATCAAAGTGAAACCCAAACGGGTGGGCATATTCCTAGACTATGAGGCTGGCACACTGTCTTTTTACAACGTTACAGACCGCTCTCATATCTACACCTTCACTGATAATTTTACTGAGAAACTTTGGCCCCTCTTCTACCCAGGCATCCGGGCTGGTCGGAAGAATGCTGCACCACTTACCATCAGGCCCCCAACAGATTGGGAGTGACAGGTAGGGACGTGGGAATAATTGGGGTGAGGCAGGGTCAAGAGCTATGGTCTTCCTTCCTGTGACCTGCTGGAATATCTTCATGCCTGCCTGGTTCCAGTCCTGAGCCGTCCGGGAGAAACACTTTGGTTTCTAGAATGGTTTATGTGGATAAGTAGGTAAAACGGCTGGGATGAGAGCACAGCCATGTGTCCCTCCTAACTGACAAGGTGGGGAGCTGGTTCCTAGGGGATTGTCTCCCCTGAACTCTATCAGGTTTTCTATTGCACAAGGACAGGTTGGGAAGGAAGGAGAGGCTTTTCCAGAAACAAAAAAGTCTATGGGAGGGAGGGTCTGACTTGCTCAAACCAGAGGAGGAAACAGAAACCCCTGTACATCCTTTTAGAGGATTTTTGACCCAGAATGGTCTTGTTTCTTGAGGAATATCACAGGGGTCTGTGTACCTCTAGATTGAAATAACAGTGAATGACAATTGCTTCATGAGTCTAGAAGTTGAGGAGTTTTCCGGAGGACAGAGATTGGGCATCAGGAAGGTTAAAAAGAAGGTCAGGAAAGGAGACTAAAGGAACAGTGTCCTAGAGACTAATGAAGAAGAGAGGGGTTTCACTGGTCTTCTGTTCCCAGAATATGGTGCCATTATGAGTAGGATTGGCCAGAGGTAGAAATGTGGGGAGGAGGGGTGAGAAGAAAGGAGAGAAACTCAGGTCCCCAGCCTTCAGCAGAATTGGCTTATTGCCTGCCTCCTTGTAATTGATTGTCTCCAAGAAGTTGGTCACTTTGCTCTTCTGAAAAGGTGAGGTGCAGAAGTTGTGCAAGACACAACACAACTACCCTCTCACTACTTTCCCAAGGGAACTTGGAAAGGAGAGAGTCAGGTATTAGAGGAAGGAGAAAGTTATTTCTATCCAAAGCCCTGGCCTTAAAAAAAGTTGCTAGGTTGCTGTTCAAAAGTTGTCAGCCTTGTTTCTTAGCTAAGGTGTCTATGCCAGAAAGAGAGAAAGGAAATGGAGTCTTCTTCACCCTGAAGACAGGGTGGAAGAAAGGGTATGTATACAGAAGGGCCAGATAGGCAACTTCCTTTTACTATGTGCATCTGGCCAGAACAAGTGTTCACAAAAGCCAGACTTTTGCTTGTTTTTTGCCATCCTTCACCTTTGGCCATTTCCCCTCTCAGAGAATGTAAATCATTTTAATGTTAGGCCAGAATAAACAATCTGTAGGGCACATACATTGTCAAAAAAGGTAAAGCAATGCATGCCAAACCAAACTAAAATGACTTGGATCATCTGCTACTTGGGTAATCAGGGGTTCACAAAAGATTGGGACAAGAAACTGCAGTTTATTGAGGACGTTTCAGTTCCTCCTACCACCTCAACAGGCCTTTGTCCAGACTCTCCTCTTACCTTTGTGCCTTGACTGTGGTTCTTTGTGGCAAGTTGCTTTGGTTGGTAAAACATAATATGAAACAAAGGATCCACTTAAGTAACCTCTGTGTTGTGTGGTAATTTGATGGTTGCCTTTTGTTGATGTGTAAGAATCAGTGGCTGTTAACAATGCATGTACCTGGGGCTCACCCTCAGTGATTGAAGGAGGTCTTGGGTGGGTCTGGGCATCTATATTTTAAACAGTCCTCATTTGAGACTGGGGACCCTTTTAAAAACAATCCCAGAGGAGATTTCAGCCATTTCCTCGGAACTGTGGACCTGATTCCCTACTCAGCCTGATGGGAGAGGGGAGAGAGACCTCATCTCTCCTGACTTAGGCTGCCTCAGGGTTCATTCATATTATGCCCTTACAGCTCTCATCCCCCCACTTCTGACCTCAGGAACTGGTGGTCAATAACTGAAGCAGAAGTAAACACAGGATGCCAAAACGAATGGGAGACAAAAGGAGGTCAGAGTTTAGGATGTCAAGTATATGCCTACTGTGGGGAGAAGGGTAGTTTTAGGAACAGGAGATGCTATCCACAGTACCTAAGACTAGGAGTTCACAAGGATCACCTGTGTATTCACTGCATAACAGGAAGTATGTTTCTTTGGTAAATGAGGTAAGAGTGGGAGTAAGCTGTGCTTTCTGAGGGCCAGGACCCCTCTTCTCTCCCTCCACCATGCTCATGATCCTTTCCAGTTTCACTCCCGCTGGCACCAGTTCTTATTTTAATATATAACCTCTGTCCTTTCAGTCCGTAGATCTTGCAGGCATCAGCATTTAGCTAGGGCGGAAGGTCTACATACATATAAATTGCACATAACTATATCTCCTACCTATCTGCACAAAGAGACCAGTCTTCTGTCCTGAAAGCCTGAAAGTGTTTAGTAGTTTAAGACCCTCTTCTGTTCCCTAACATCGCCAGTTTCTACCTAGTATAACTGAGCATGGGTTTGAGACTAGAAGAAAGCCGTAACTCGGAAACCTTGGGCTTGGATTGCGGGGAGATGAGTTTACAAACAGATGGGTCTGTAAGGCCGCAGGGTGGCGCCAGAGGAGGGGAGGCTCTCGGGCATGGGAACTACACTTCCCGGAAGGCCTTGCGCGGGCGCCCGGCCGGAGCCTGCGGACGAGCACGGCAGGCGCAGGAGTGGTGCGAAACGGATGGCTGGGCAGGTGAAGGACCGCGAGGCCTTCCAGAGGCTCAGCTTCCTGTACCAGGTGAGTCCGCGTCGCGGGCGCAGTGGGAGGTGGCCCGGGGCGGCCTTCCCTTAATTACGGCTCGTCTGCCTCAGGCCGCCCACTGCGTCCTTGGGCAGGACCCCGAGAACCAGGCACTGGCGAGGTTTTATTGCCACACGGAGAGGATCATCGCAAAGCGGCTTGTCTTGCGGCGGTGAGACGCTCAGAGGCCGGCGGTGGGCGGGAAGGGTAAGAAACGGAGAGAGAGCGTGGGCGTCCAGATCACCTTCCCCTTCCGTTTCCAGGGACCCCTCTGTGAAGAGGACCCTCTGTCGTGGCTGCTCTTCTCTCCTCATACCGGGCCTGACTTGCACGCAGCGCCAGAGACGTGAGTGCTCCCGCCGAGGTGGGGTGATTGAGGAACACTGGTGAGCGGGGAGACGGTGGGCCAGAGACCCCTTTCCTCTCTTTAAATGGGTATCCGGCGTTGGAGTTGCAGGAGCCGACTTTTTCCAGCTCTGGGTTAAACTGCAACTCCACTTGGACAAACTGAGGGCTGGGCATTAGAGAAATTATATTGCCACACCACCCATACATAGCAATAGATGTTATTTTGCCTCGTGGAGGACCGATTCCCATCACCATTCATTCATTCATTGAACAAATATTTATTTTTCTAAGATATGTCAAGGATTGTGCTAGATTCATTATTCTCCTTGAAATTGTAGTCTGATGGACTACAAGATAGAAACTTGATAGAAGTTTCTAAGATAGAAACAAAGTAGTGCACAAAAATGCTTTACCTGAGGAGTGGAATGCCAGGCTACTTAAGCCAGTGGTGGTGAGGCTGATGATGAGCAAAAGGAGTAGCAGTTGGAAATTCTAGGCATGTGTGAGAATTCCAGGACAGGAGAGCTTGTGGTGATGTCCACAAAATGAGCATTCTGGAGGCTGGAGTTTGAGGTTGGCAAGGGCAAGACATGAGGCTGCAGGAGCCAGGGCAAATCTTGAAGAGTCTTGTTAAGGAGTTTGGGTTTTATCTTAAAGAATAAAGGACTTTATTCACCAAGAAACTGATGGACTTCAAGCAGGGATTAAATACCTCAAGTTTGGACTTGGGGACAAGGGGTAGGAATTCTTACTAAAATTGAGCATAACTGGGTGCAGGAGAATTTTTCTTCTCTAAACATGAGCACTCCCTTCCTTTTTCTCACTTTCACCCCAGGATGCAGGGGACAGCGCTGGACAGTACAGACCTGCCTAACATGTCAGCGCAGCCAGCGGTTTCTCAATGATCCTGACCATCTGCTCTGGGGAGACAGGCCTGAGGCCCAGCTGGCGAGCCAGGCAGGTGAGAGGTAGTGGAGAAAAATATGGGATATCCCAGGGGGATAAGGATGATGGGGGACATTGAGCTGAAGAGGACACACACAGGTGGGTTCTGGGTTGGTGTGAGAGGTGCCATAGTCTCAGAAAACTCCATTTTGCTTGTCTACCCAGATATCAAGCCACCACAGCCCCTGCCAAACACAGCCCACCCCATTCCAGCCCACCTTCCTGAGGAGAAAGTGAAGCTTCAGAGCTCTGGTCACCAGTAATGGATTTACCCTGTCTTCCAAATAAAGTTCAGTTCTGGTTCAATTCGTATGATTCTGTTCTGTGAGTATTTCAGCTCTTCATTCTATTCTCCTCTGTTACTGTTTGTATTTCTGTCACAAGTTAAACTCTCCTTTACTCTTGTCCTTTGTATTTACTATCTTCGTACTACTACCATTCAGGGAGATCCCAATTTCCATTGATCACGTGGTCCCATTAAGCAGCTCCTAGTTCTGGGACCCTGACTCCAGTGCCCCTTTGTCCCTCAATGCAATGCCACGTTTGGAACTCAGCCTCCAGGATGTCTGCAAAGGCCTGAGCCTTCTTAGGGCACTCCATAGTTAGGTAGCCCTGACTGTTCACTAAGGGGCTGGACAGACTGCTAATGCCACTGATGCTGTTTTCAAACAAAGAAAAATGTTTTGGGGGGCTGGGGCCCTCAGATCCTCTAGGTTGACTGGGAAAGAGTTGGTCTTTCCCAGTCTCTGTTTGTTTCTATAGAATTCTAATACAGGAAATTGTACAGACCCGAATTAACAAGATCAAATATGCTAATAAAAGGATACTGGCAGACATTACACAAACCTCAAGGTTTTCTTGAGAATCAGTGAACAATAAAAATGGTTTTGTTTGATACCCCTAGAGAACTTACTCAAGGACAGAATTTCAGACTGACCTCTTTGCTAGGTGCCAGCTAATCAGTTTGCCCTAAAAGCATACACACAAAATTCACTATTCTCAGAATGCACTGTTCCTTACCTTTCTCTTATAAATCCTGTGTTGCACTTACTTACTGCTGTGTGCCACAGGATGAGTAGATCTCCGCATCTGCCACAGAAACCAAGACCTAATCATTCCCTGAATCTTAGGAACATAAGCACTTTTTAAAACCGGTAAAAATGAGTAGCAGTATGTTGGGAAGAGAGGTAAGGATTGAGAGACTTGTGAATTCAGGAGAGAGTTGGACAATTACTTAGATTCTCAACAAAGGAGACAATAAATAGTAATGCTAGCTTTGTTTACATCACATTGTTGCTGTAACTACCAAATAAGGTAAGATATGTGGAGGCACCTTGAAAATTGGGTCTTACAGGGCATTTTAATAGAGTGTAAGTAGTCATCACAATAACACAGAAAAATAACAAGTAGCAAAATATATTAGAAAAGACAGGTCCTGGATGTCAAGGAATCTGTGTTGTTACCATAATATAAGCTTGTAAAATGAGGCAGTTTGACCATGTTTTTTTTCCTTAAGTTTCTTCAAACTCCAAAGACTAACAAATGAAGTTACCCTGGTTTTCCCACTAGAAGTCAAAAAAGCAGAGTTTCTTTCAGACTCTTTCATTCATTCATTCAATAAATGTTTTTTTAGGGCCTGCTGTGTGGCAAGGAATTGCTCAAAATTTAAGATGTACATCATCAGTGAACAAAGTTGGAGGAAAGACTAGCAAAAAACAATGTATGATAAATAAAGTATATATCTTAAAGGAATACATGCAAAAGATAAAACCAGGAGGGTAAGGAAGCTGTGGAGTACAAGTTCCAGTTTTTAAATAGAGCGGTCTAGGTAAGCAGTACTGAGAAGGTGACCTCAACAGACTCTAAGGGTGCCTGGTCCGTATCCCCTCAGACAGCCTCAGGGAACATTACTCCTAGGGTTAGTTCCCTTACAGGACACCAGCTTCTGTCTCTCTGCCCCAGGGTATGTTGGTTAGAAGCAACCTGTGGTTGTCATCTAAAACCAGACTCCTCACACAGAGGGCCAGGAAAGACTGAAGAAAGAAACCACTCCAATTGGTAGGTGGCAGATTTAACAAGGGAGTTAACAAATGAGGCTTGTCTTGCATGCCACAGGACGAGTAGATCTTCGCATCTGCCCACCAAATCCCCCAAGTTTATATAGAGGCTTAACTCCCAAGCTTATATAGAAGTTCAGTCATGTACACAGTCCAGATAATCTCAACAACACATCATTATCTCAATGACAAAGTTGGGCATGAGGAGCCTCTGAATGCCAGGGTCTAGTTTATGGGCCAACTGGCAATCATCTTTTCCATGACCTCTCCAGGCAGTTATTACTTGGAAGCAGAAGCTGCGCAGGAGAGGCCAAAACTGCCGGGGAGTAATGCCCCTGGGAGCGACCCCAAACAATGAGGGATGAGATTTGGTGGAGAAACAGTCTACATAGTCTCAGGGCCTCCTGCAGGCTTGAGCTCTGCTAACACCAGTACTCAGATGTGCCCTTTCTATACTTGCTGCCTCCCATTTCACTACCCACTCCCTCACCAGAATTCGTAGGATGATCTTCCTGGTGAGCTACATGCACACAAGTCTTTGTCTCTGGATGTGCTTTGGAGGAACCCTGACTAAGAGTGACATTTGAAAAAAAGACTTGAAGGAGGTAACAATCCAGCTAGGCAGATCAATTGGGGGTGGGAAGGAGTAGGGACCTTCTACAGAGGGTCCTGAGGTAGGAGCCTGCAAAACTGTCAAAGATCAGAAAGGAGGCAGGTGGAAGTAGGACAGAGCAAATGAGGTGGAGAGTGGCAGAAGAGATACTGGGGGCCAAGGATCCTCAGGCTGTCAAGAGGAACTTGACTTGTTCGTTGCCACTGGAAATTTTTATCAAGGAATGATGTTATCTGGCTTAACATTTTTAAATGTTCTTTGAACAGTAGACTAGGAGAGCAAGACTGGAAGAAGGGAAAACAGAAGGCTGTTGCAGTCACCCAGATGAGAGATGACAGTGGCTCAGACCAGAGGATGCCAGTTCCACCAAGCTGGTCAGGCAGAGGCCAGAATTCAGGGCTGCTGGAGGGGCTGGACCTTCAGGGTACAACAAGAACAGCAAAGCAGGTGTGGGGTGGCAGAGGGCTTTGTGGGTTCTCCTAGACCCCCGGCCAGGCTCTGGGCTATATGTGCAGCAAGTACTGCTATAGGACAGATTACCAGTCACCAGGGGCCACACTGGGGGAGACCCTGGGGCTCCAACCCAGCTAAGTAGGGTCCTTTAGCTGAGACACCAGAGAGGCTCACTCTGAGTGAGGACCAGGCCCTAGAGTAAGAGCTAAAAACCTTACTCTAGCGTGGGGGGAACTTGATAATATGGGTAAATGTAGTAACCACCATTTTGCTCATGTGAAACCTTCATAAGTATATATCAATGATACCTTAATATAGTTAATTAATTAATTAATTAATTTTAAAGACCTAGGTTCAGCAGAGTCAAGGTGAGCTGCCAGGAAAGTAACTATCTGCCAGAAGAAAACTTTCTTGAAAAGAAGACAGCATAATCCAGTGTTAAGGACTGTTTTTTGATCTGGTTTCAGAGTAACTACCCTGCAGTGAAATTTATTCATTTCCTCTCCTTGTCATCCGTGATTCCTCCTTTTGGAAATAGTTCTTTTTCTTCTCCCTCATTCATAATCATTGTGCTTTGCATGGGATAACTCCAAGCTTGATTCTGGAAGTGGGCAAGTGATCCAGGTCCATGAGATCAGAGCATCAAAATCCCCTAGGCATGGGTAATACCAGGCTCTACAGTTAAAAAGCAAAGTTCAAAATAGGGAGTTTAAATGGAAAAATAGTATATGTGCAACATCAGATACCTCTGAGAAGCCCAGGGATGACCAAACAATTGGGAATGGAAGCCACATGACTAATGCCCAGACCACACTGAGGAAGTGTCCAAAGAGCACCTCACTGCTATCACTACCAGGCCCAGACACAGGGGGCCAAGGATCCTCAGGCTGTCAAGAGGAACTTGACTTGTTCGTTGCCACTGGAAATTTTTGCCACGCTGCTGGTGCTGGGCACGGGGGCCTGCAGGTCCACATCAGTGCCCATGAGAAGCTGGGCACCTCTGCTGACTCCTTTGCCAGATGAAGGATTCCAGCAGACACCTACTTCCTCACATGCTGTCTCCCAACTCTTACGTGTAGCATGGGTGTGACTGATTGGCAGACCTGAGGTCATGTCTATGCTCTAGTGTCAGCAAAGGTTTGAAAAGTTAAGTTGTAGCTTCTGTTGGAGGAAGGAAGGGTTAGGACTTGTAATATGGGAAATTCCCCTGCATGCTGGCCAGCTATAAAGCATGTATAAATCCTAAGCCAGCAATTTCTTGAGGTCCCCCAACTGCTAGGGTTCCCCCAAGACTTACTTTGATTGCAATACTGACTTATTTTGCCATTTTCCCTATGTTGAGATTTGCACTGATGGTGCAAAAGCAATGGTGGGTAAACTGCTGGTGTCTTAAAATGAATCAAGAAGGTGGCATCAATATGTATCCCTTACTGCCATACAAGGGACAGGGAATGGGGGACGATTCCATTTAAGAATGTCCCCAGTAAAGAAGTAAAAATTCTGTATTTTATTACGCCTCTACCCTTGAGCATTTTAACATTCTGTGTGACACATTTGCAAATATGCATAAAACACTTGTGCTACATGACAAAGTGCAATGTGGGATAAGTACTGTCTCCCAGAAAACACCTGCATGACTGTCTGACTTGAAAGCTGAACTAGTTGCTTTTTTCATGGAACACTCTTTTTACTTGGAACAGTGACTGACATAACCATAATCTATGATTATTCCAGCTGGATTTTGGACAGACTTTTAATAAAAACTGGACAAAGTGAGCCTGACTCTTCAGAGAAAACAACCAACAGTATTTGTTGCTATTGATAAAATTCAAGCTTTTACAAGAAAATTATGATATGGAAAACTTGTGACCACCCATATTTCCATTACTGCTGTAATCAGTTACCACAAACTTAGTAGCTTGAAACAATGCAAACTTATCTTACAGTTCTAGAGGTCAGAATGCTGAGATGTGTCTCATGAGCTTAAATCGAGGTATCAGCAGGGCTGCATTCCTTCTGGAGGCTCTGGGGAAAATCCATTTCCTCACCTTTTCTAGGTTCTAAAGGCCATCTGCAATCCCTGGCTTGAGACCCTTCCTCCATTTTCAAAGCCAGCAGCCTAGCATCTTCAAATCAATCCATCTTGATCTCTTTCTCTCAAAATATGTCTCTCTTTCTCTCTTAT